CCGCCTCCCTGCCCCGCCGCCGAGGGCAGGAGCGAGGTCCTGCCTGCCTGCCTGCGCGCCCGGGTCGCCTGCGCTGACTGAGGAGGTGACTCGGACGCACCATTATCCCGTGAATCATCCCGTCGTCATTTGTCAAGGCTGGGAGAGAAGGAAGAGGGAGAGAGAGGGGGAAAAAGCCCGCACGCTGGGGGACGTGGAAGTTGCTGCCTCCGACGCTGACATCGGTTTTCCTCCTTGAAGATCTCCAGCGGGCTCTTCTTGGTGCTTTTTTTTTTTTTTGTTTTAAAGTTGATTTTAAGCCATTTAAGGTATCATCAAGATGTCCAGCAGCGTTCCAGCTGATATGGTAAGCCTTGCACTCCTTATTTAATAGTATCGCTACGGAATAACGTTTATTTCGGCCTGTTTTGGCAGAGAAGATGGAAAGAAGAGGGGCGTGGGAAGGGAAAATAAAAAAAGATCCCGGTTACACATTTAAGGAACAAAAAGTTCCCAGCTAATGCACACACAGCCCGCTGGTTCTGCTTCGCTTTTTGGTAGGGGAGTGGGGAATCCGCAGCGTCGCCCGCCGCGCAGGGAGGCGAGGGGGGGTGGCTGCTTTCCCTTACCTACGGCAGATCCCATCCGACTGCTCCTGCTCGTTTCGCTCTTCAGCTCTGCCGAGCGTTTGGGATTTGGGGTTTTTTGTTGTTTTTTTCGCGGGGGGGGGGGGGGGGGAGAGAGAGAAACACGAAGCAGAGCGTTCCAAATTATTTGCTCGAGCCGGTGGGTTTTTTTTTTTTTTCCTTTCTTTCTTTCTAAACCACCTGAAATTTAGTCTCAGCCTTCTTCCTTTTCATCCCTCAAACTTCGCTTCGTTTCTTACCCGACGCTTTGTCTTCCGATGTTGATGGGAAGTTAATCCCTTCGCTTGCTGCCGGGTCAAGAGCGAGAGCGAAATTCTCATGCACTTATTTACATAGCGAGGTCCTTTGTGCACTAGCTGCAATCTGGACGTTTTTCAAGGGCACTCCTAGTACTTCTTATGGCGGACTGTACTTCAGCCTGCGTTGAATACTCGCCTCGGTGCACTTAAAATAGGAAAGTATAGCAGGGCATGAGGAAGGGAGGGTGAATCAGGTCTGCTAAGTAATCTTTCGTTCAGCATGACTTTCCCCATTTGTATACAGTTCCATAAATCAATGGGAAAAAAAAAAGTTGTGGCTGCAGTTTGATACGTTGGATCTTTATTCTTACAGCAGAATATTTTCACGTATCTCCCCACGACTGTTTACACTTAAGGGTACTTTTTTTTAAAAGCAGCAGGCTTGTCCCTGCTTTTTTTTTTTTTTTTTTTTTTTTTCTCTCTCCAGGATAAAGTTCTGTTTTACGAGTAAAACCTGCCCCGGTAGTGATAACAATAAAACCGAGTAGCCCTTGTTTCAGCCATCGACATACAATTAATGGTGCATATGTATGACGAATGGGCTGTTGAAATAATGGTATCCTTTAGTTGCTTACTTTCAGTGTTTCCTTCACAGCTTTTGTACTGCTGTCAAAATGAGTGACTTCTGCCAAAAAAAGCAGAAACAGTAAGATAGAGAGGATGAATAAACATGGTTTTAAGCTCACATTTTTTTTTTCTTTCCCCCTCTGCCTGTTTCAAACACTATAAATGAATTTTTCCTCCAGAAGAAAAGGATGGTGAGGAGACTACTGCCTCTGACTTTAAACCCTTTCAATTATTTTTCATATATTTGTTTTTAGGGTCTCTTTGGCTGTTGCATCACAGAAACCCTCTCTCTTATATCACAGAAATCCTTAGCCTGTTCTGTTCACAGAAATCCTCTCCTTAGCTGTGGAGGGTTAGATGCAAATCTCTTAGTGCTGCTTTTTATATTGCCTGGAGGAGTCCCTTGATGGGTGGCATGAAGCACCCCTCTTGCCTCTCGCCCCAGGCTGAGTGTGCTGACACCTCCACACTACCATACCTCTGGGTCCTGCCTGCCTGCTGCCACTAGGCTTGGAATGTTTGACGTTTGACATTTTATGCAAAATACACCAATTTTAAGCTAGGTAAAATACTATGTTGTTTCTATGAAAACTATTTCATTCTGCTATGATGTAATGAGAATACCACTGATGGGAATAGCTAGGCCTAGCGATGCTCTGTTTCTTCAAATCAGGAAGGAGCTTGTTATACACAGTAATGTTTAAATACTGAGTCATTACAAAAACATTTGAATGAAGATGTTACCGATGTGGGTAGAATTTAACTGAATAAATAGACACATTCTGGTCTGTCTTAGGATCGTTTTGTTGGGTTTCTGCATTATTAGCTGCAGCTTCTCTCTGAAAGTCTGAAGTGCGTCGTAGAAATACAAGTACAGATAATGAATATTACTTTGTAAAAAGAGCACTTGGAAACTCATTTGGGGTCTTCTTTTGCCACCATTCTCCTTATTTCAAAGGACCTTTTTCTGGAAAGAAAATGGGATTATTATTTGATTGCTCTTTAAAGAGGAGCACTTACCAGGCTGTCACCTTGTTTATATATGTTTTTATTTAGTGTAAGATTTTGCAGTTTGCATTTCTCCTATCCGCCCACTGTGTAATTTGCATTTACCAAAAAAATGATTTCCCATCTCTGTAGGAGTTGGCATCGGTGTGATGTAGTGTCATGTTATGAAGACTCCATCACACTTAGTAAATCTGCTGTGAGTTACTTAAGTGTTATAATAATTATGTTTCAAACTGTTTATGTCAGATTCATGAACTAACCCTCTCATAATAATACTAATAATAAAACTATTAGAATTGCTGCTGCTTAAAAATGTGTTAATTTGTCTTCCTGTCCCACCTTTGAGAAGGATCTGCTATACATAAATTCATAGTAAATTATCAAATCTTCAGAAGGCTTTGTACTTCTTTGAGGCATAGTTCGATCCAGCCTCTTTTTCTCTGACGTTGACTTCTTTCCAGAACTACAGCAGATTTTACCAGCTACCCATTTCAACATCACTTCTTAAATAATTTACACTGTACTTTATCATTTGCATTCCACTAATAAGTTGGATAGTGACACACCATGTTCCAGGTGTTGTAAGTTTGTGGTGCATTATTCCTTAGCGATGTGTGTTACTTACAGGTTAAAACTCCACTTCTGGAATGAAACCTGCTAATACTGACCTCTCTACTTGAGTAGTTCCATTAACTTAATTAGGACTAGACATGTATGGGGCAGTGGTTGAAGACTGTACTCCATATCTAGAGCCTAATTTTGTTTAATTTTTCACATAAGCACTGGCGATTGTAGCAGCGACAGGGCATCTCTGAATATGTTCAATAATTTCATCAGGTAATTTATCAGTTTTACCGTTTGGTAGCAGCTAGAGTTTGACTGTGAGTAACAGCAGGGCTGTTTGCAAGTTGTATTTCTTTTGTAATAATAAAGAGACATGGAGTGATTTATGGACTTGTGGAGTTTAGCAGACTGGTTTTTTTGAGCGGGCCAAATGAAAATGGTTTGGTATTTGTTTAAACACTGTAGCTCACTACTTTAAAACAAGCTATGAATAACCTACACTCAGTCCAGAAGTTATTACTCAATTGAATAATCCCCTTTATTTCAGTGAAGTTACCACGAGAATCTGGGAAGCTGCGTTTCTGTATTCTGTGTGCCTGTGATACTTCTCCTTACAGATACAATTCTTCAGGGATCTTAGAACTTCACAGTAAGGGGCCTGTATGACTGAAAAGTATTACAGTGTCTGCTGTTTTCCTATATCAGTGCATTTTATGTAGGTATGAAAAGGCTCTGCCAGCACTTTGTTCCTGGGCAGTTCTTTGAGTGCCCTCTAGGATATGAAGTCTTTCTCTGCCTGAGTAGTAACTGGGAGTTATGCCTTTGGCTCATGGTGGGTTTTTTGTTTGGTTGGTTTGGGTTTGGTTTTTTTGGTGGTGGTTTTTTTTTTTTTTTGAATTGGATAAACAGCAGGACATTGAAATCTATCAAACAGTTAAAGGTTTTCAATTTTATTATGCACAGCTATTGAATCCATACACTATACTTAAGAGATGTAAGTGATATGGGAGAGATTATTTTTTGTAAAACTGAATGTTTAGTACGAGACTTTTGCAGACATGCAAGAGGATGGAGTCTGTGGTCTAAACCACTTCTATACATGGATAGTGTTGGAAGGGGGCAGCAGGTGGAAGAAGAATAACAAATAGAAACACTGCTCGGTTCACACCTTGTTAGTGTCAGCGTCTTTAGTCAAATGTGTATGGGTGTGTTCTTTTTTAGGAAATTTAGCATAGGTGGTGATGAACAGCTTAATGGTGGACGTGTAACTGATGCTACAACAGCAGGGGAATCTTGGCATCCAGGAGCAAGGTTCAAACCGGAGGGACTCAAAAGGAGTAGCTGGTTATATGATAGCTGAGTTTTGTTGTCCATCAGTCTAAACAATTCTTTAATTTAAGAATAGTAAGTGCAGTATCATTATAATATGGTTGGAACGTAAAAAGAAAATATTCGTTCACTCATAGCATTTGAATGTATCAGAACAAAATGTAAGAAGTTATGCGTCTCTTTTCCTCTGTTTTAACTGCTTTTCCTTTTGCTCTTAGTAGAACTTTTTTCCTGGTTTTGAAAATTGTTGTATCCCTAGTAGCCTTTGTGCATATAGTCCTAAATTAGTCCCTTATGTGTTTTTTTTTTAATAATAAAGTTCTAATTATTTCTCTGTGGTTTTGTACCTCCCGTGTTGAAAGTTCCAATTCATTACATTCTAAGATAAAAATAGCTTATCGGGTTTTTCTGTATGGATATTTTTTCTTTCCTTTTTTTGATTTTTCACTGTTTGCTGATTGGAAAGGATAGGAGTATCCTATCCTTTGTCATTCTCAGTGTTTTGTTTTGGGTTTTTTTGCCTCCTTTTGGAGGAGGAATTGGTGAGATCTGTGTCAGAAAGAAGAGTTTGAAGAAGCTCCTTCCTCACTGGTTACATATTGAGCCAGGCTTTGTAGCATATTGCAGTGTTTCTTGTAACGAGATGAAGAACCTCCTTCTCTTATCTGCAGCAGTGGCCAGGGATAAACTTGTCAAAGCTTGTCAAAGCTGATGCTGAATGTATGTATTTGGATATATTACAAAATTATTTGTATTTATCAATTCCCCCACCTACCCACCATTTTTCTTCCACAGATTAAAAAATGTCTTGCCTATTTATCTAATAACCAAACAGAAATAACTTAGTAATGACTGGCATTGTTATGTATGACACTGTAGTGGAAATTCCACAGCATCCTAACACATTAAACATACTCCGAAACAATGTTTGCATGTCCTTCATCTCATTTTCT